AATTAATGGATTCATTAAGAACCAAACCACCAAGGATTAGCAACTCTGTGGGGGTCTTTGCAATATTCAGAGAAAAAGGAAAATATTAATGAGAAATTGACTATAGCATGCTACACAAGCAGGTTACATAAGTCTTCCATTGTTCACCCTAGAGGCAATGAATTTTCCAGAATCTCTCAGGGATGCAATGCCTAAGATACCCAGAATCCCTTGTAGTTACAACAAGGTTCTAGAAGCACAACAAAAATAACCAACCTAAGGTATAGTAGGGGCAGCTAGGTGGCACCATAGTGCACAGAGTGCCTGGTCTAGAATCAGGAAGGCCCATCTTCCTGAGTTCAAATCTGACCTCAGATACTTACTAGCTGTGTGACCCTGGGCAAATCATTTAACCTTATTTGCCTCAATTTCCTCATCTGTAAAATGAAACTGGAGAAGGAGTTGGACATGACTGAAATGACTGAACAACAAAAAGGTCTAGCAAACCTAGAATCAGTGACTCTGCCAAACCTATTCCCTTCATCTTAAAGATGAGAAAACTGGGGTACAGAGAACTTAAATAACTTTTTCAAGATGGCAAAGGCATCTGCAAAAGCAGAGCTGGGATTTGAACCTAAGGTCTCTAATGCCAAAGTCCTTTTTTATTTATTTAGACTAAACTTGTGATCTCATTGGCATAGGAAGCTCCCAGTGTGGAAATTCCTCTATCAGTATGGATTAACACTTACTTTACAACTTGTCTTAGAGAGTTGTTTATCAGTCAATCAGTCAGTCAATAAACATTTATTAAATACCTATTACTGCCAGGCACTGTGCTAAGTGCTAGGGATAAAAAGAAAAGAGACAGCCCTTGCTCTCAAGGAGTTCACAATGGGCCTCAGTTTCTTCCTCTGAAAAATAAAGGCATTGGACTAAATAATTTTTATGTCCTTTAGAGACTTTGGAAGAGCATTTTGCTCCAGCCCTCCAATCAGAGGGGCAAAGGATACCAGGGTACTGATGAGATGTGAGTACCAAAACTAATGCAAGCAGGATGATGAGTTTCTTGGTGATGAGTTATCCTGGTGGAGTCCAGTCCATGAAGTATTGCCAGCCCTGGGTCTGATAAAGTAGGGATGAAAGAGAGGAAAATGAAAACAGAGAAGAAAGAAGGAAGATATTATCAATCAATAAGCATTTACTAAGTACCTGTTACGTGCAAGGCACTGTACTAGGTTATGGAAATACTGAGACAAAAATGAAAGAATTCCTACCCTCTCAAAAAGAGTTTAAATTCTATTGGGGAAGAAACATGTTTATAAGTATAGCAGACTTTATTAACCCACATGTAGAAGTTCCATGTACAAGACCCCACATATATTGAATCCTTCTGGAAAA